GGGGGGGGGGGGGGGGGGGGGGGGGGGGGGGGGGGGGGGGGGGGTGGGGGGGGGGAGGGGGGGGGGGGGGGGGGGGGGGGTAATACGAAGTGGTAGTGTAATGTTTTATGTTTTTTTATTTGATTATATTTGTTTCGAATAAAATTTTATTTGGGAAATGATTTCTATTTAATAAACGGCAAAAAAACGCACCATCATTTCTGCGAATTATTGCCCATAGTTGGGCATAATAATGACCGGTCATTTTTATAGGTAGCTTAAGTTGTATTTGCTATTGCGTATTTCATCATTTGCATGTTCGTCGTTACTTTTCGTGATTGCAATTTAAGATCGACGACTTGAGTCGTTACTTATGCGGGCCACTGTAGCACGATACTCAGTGATCGGAATCGCACTGATTCGTCTCATTATGGCGAAATCAAATATACATGTAACACTTTCGTTTTAATGATTTTCATTTTGAAAAATTATACATATAGTATTGAAAGCTGTACTTTTCAGGGATTTAAATTTTTCATTTTTTTAATATATTGCTTGATATTTAAAATTTAAAAGTGTCCACAATATTCTGTTAGAGCACTGTACGTGTACCTGTATTCGATTTTCAGACTCCTACTTTCTGTAACTAAAGATTATTTCGCATTTGCTAACGAAATTGAAGCAAAATCTTTATATCAACAATGACAACCAAGTCAACATACGCTTCTACTTCAGAGATCAGAAAGTTGACTACGAAAAAGCTTATCGAATTTTTACAAAAAGAAGAAGATTTAGAACTTATAGATGAGGATTTTATTATAATTTGCAAAGAGAGAATCAATGGTCGTGACTTCTTCAAATTAACCGAAGAAAAGCTTAGAAGCTATGGCATGAAAGGAGGACCTGCGACGAGAATCGCAGATTTTGCTGACGAGCTCAAAAAGAAAAAATCAAGAGCTTTCCATGAATTTATTTCAGAGCCGATTACTTTCTCTAGTGAGGACAAGAAAATAATACAGCATGTTGAGTTACCAGAAGTTATAAACGAGCTATCAATAACACTACGATTAAATATTCAGAATCATAATCCAGATTGGGCTTGTATTTTTCATAAAGGTATATATGGTTATATGTTTTGCAAGAAGAATGGGTTCTTTGGCCATAAAATTGTTGGTTAAAAGTTAATCTTTAATACATATTAGGCGAGGATGCACACGAAGCTCGTACGCCCGCACTCTGGCTGACACCAAAAAATTCGGCACCACATCCACGATTCTCAATGACCAATAATTGGAATGAAGGAATCGGTTCTGTCGGCAGCGGACTTTCTCTAAACAGATGGTATCACCTAGCCTACACACTCTCTGATTCAAAGAAGCGATTAGATTTTTACATAGATGGAAAATGGATCGGATTCTATAGCATCCAACAAGTTCAGACGCAACAAATCATATTCAATCATGAACCGTTGTACATCGGAGCAGATAAAATCTGGAGTGGGATCACTGGCCAAATTGGGTATAATAAATTATAACGATAAATAGTGCAAAATTATAAAATACATGTAATAGATAATTAATGATCACTTTTATAAATAGTAATTTTCGTTATTATAACTGGCGTTTATCTGCTGAAGAAGTGACAGAAGAATATTTGGTAAGATGCTTTCAGAGGTTTATATTTGTGGTTCTTTTTTATTTGAAAATGTTAATAATTTGAATTTTAGAAACATATCAACTATACTAATTACGCCAATACCATTGACTAGTCAAATGTCATCAACTTCTAATTCATCAAACGAACATCTAGCAATATTTCTCTTTAAAGAACATATTTTTCCTAGCTATTATTATTATTTTGTTTTATTAATTAAAAATTAGAAAAATAGAATCAGCTAGAGGCTTTTTATGAGAATTAAATTATTATCGAGTCATGCTTATGGACAGAAAAAAATTACTCACAAGAACGAAAAAAATTAGACTGTCCATATATAACTTTATCTTTGGCAAAGCTTGTTTGATGCATTTGCCGGAAAACAATAGACATAAATTTAACTATATGTATGTCCTAATCGAAAATAAGCGTGTTGATGATTATAAAAAATCTTCATTGAAATAAAAGGTAATAAGTTAAAAAAATAATAAAGTTAATTGATTTGAAAATCACTGATACAGTTGAAATTAAGAATGTCTCAAATTGAAGTCATAAACCGTACACTAAAAGTATCCGGCAATAACAAAAAATTAGCAAATTTTTTAAACACATGAATCCAAATTTATTGTACATGCACAGTCGCCACAAAAAATAACGCATATGTAACAACATGGGAAAAATTTCGATTTATTGTTTAAAAAATTTTATCCGTGATTTGAAAGATGCTGTTGCTACTGGCTTGCTAATAAAAGAATCAGATTACCTATAATGCAAATCAGAATGATCTAAGAGCATCTTTCATATTTTAATTCAAATTATATTTTAGAATTTATGAATATTAATCTTCACAAATTCGTTCATTTCCAAGATTAAAACAATTGCAAGAATCATGTTAGTAAAGTTCATTTATGATAAATATTGTAAATAAAGGTCATATTATTAAATTTATTCAACAATCGTATGTTTAATTTGAATAATTCTACAATACCACGTTTACAAAAAGGCAGTAAAAAATTTTTGTTAGTGTAATAACTATTGACAATGGCTCGAGGGTTAAAAAATTATGAAAATTTTCTTATAAAGTAATCTATCATAATAGATCGAAGCAAAAAGATAAATAACAGTATGTTACTTACGTATGTATATGTATTTTCATCTAGAGCAAAAAATTATAAGATTTTTACCTTGAGTATAATTCTTTCCATCTTGATTGGTATCGCTCTGATTCACGAAAACTTTCCCCGTTTATTTAATTTTTTCGACATATTTCATTAGGACGCTTGTGATATTTTGAAGCGTTATTAATGAAAACTTTTGCATAAACTTTTTGAGTTTAAATTTGAATTTTCGGTGTCTTATCCCTTTCATAATATCCAATATCATTTTCAAATGTTCGTGATATATGCTGGAATTGTAAATGAGCAATATTGTGATATATTTAGTAAATTTTACCTTCATGATATTAATAATTTATTTTAACTAATCCCTTTTATTAGAACGTAAGAAATCTACAATCTTATTTGCATCTTTCATTATATTTATCTTTGATATTAATAAATTTATTTTAACTAATCCATTATTCTATCTTTTATTTAGTTGGTAAGAATTCAACGACCTTATTTTGCATCTTTCATTTCCTCTGGACTCATATAGGGAAGTACACCACAAATTTCTTTGTCAGATTTTTCTATATCTGCTTGGATGCTAAGTCTAAAATTAACAATTTGAGGCTTTGAATGCATTAGTAATATATTTCCAGGATGAAAGTTACTATGTATAAACTTTTCTCCGTGAATTTTTGTTAGATTATTGAGAATACAATATAAATGAATTAATTAAGTCAATTTTGGAATACGGCGATCGTCATCTCCATCCATTATCAAATATTCATTTGTAACTGGGTTTTTAGTTATTCGATAATATTTAATATAAGCAGCATCCCAACTGCATTTAAGAGCTGGCCTGAATCTAATTTTGAAATGTCAGAAACAAAAATAACTGGCTTTCACTTTAGAAAATGGTTATTTTTACCTCATGTATAAACTCTGGAGTAATTAGCTTTGCATTGTGTAATGATTTCAACGCAGCTTCACATTCTCTTCTTCGTAAGAATTTATTTTCTTCATGACCCCACTTATTATCAAATCCGTTCAATGGTCCATCCAACCAGGTTGCTTTATAAATTGACCCAAAACCTCCTTTTACAAGATATTCAACATTGGTAAATCGTTCAAAGGAATCCATCATCATATTTATAAGTAATTTTGTTGCATTCTTTTATTAGATTGTCGATATCTTTATCGTCACTAGATAATTCATCGTTATAAATTCGTTTGTGATACTTGAAACAGTTTTCACAGTACTTATTTCTTGACAGCGAGTACATTTACTACAATCATGAGTATTGTGAGCTAAACACTCATCGCAGTAGAAATTATTTCGACAATAGTAACTTTCATCACAATCATGAGTATTTGATTCCATCTTTAAGTTTAATGGAATGAAATGGGTGAATTGGTTAAATGATAGTAAAATAAACGATAATCGTTGTCGTTGTACAGTTACGGGACCCATTAGGTGTGCGATATAGATAGATCATTAATAAGGATTTTTGATAGTACAATTTTGTAATCCGTTAAATATATAGATTTATTATAGAAAAATCGCTCTCGAAAAAAAAGGTCTTTGTTATAAATAAGTATTAGGAACTATTTTTAACATTATAATATGATAGACAAATTATTTATCTATATACTAATAACGAGGCTTTTTATATTTGTTAGAATAAAATAGTATATTTATAGTAAATAACAAAGTTTGTTTTTAAATAGAAAATTAACAATAATAATATTAATACAATAAAAAAGTCGCGTTATTATTAAAAATGCTCGTTTTATTATATTCAAAACAATAATATTTTTTGTAAAAATCCAATTTTGAGTAAGCTTATAGCTTTTAAAGTTTCAAGATGCCCCCATGATCAAAACAAAATTTACATCTAATAAAAGCCAATGCAGCAAAAAAATTTATAAGAAACTTCCTTCAAAAAAACCCCTCTCAATAAAATGACAAATATTAGTTGCTGAAGTTGAAAACTTGCCTGAAAAAGAGGTTTCTCGAGCACTTTCTCGTATAAATACAATGATATATACAAAAGAAATTCTGCTGACAAAATTATATCTCCATACTATCAGAAAAAAGTGGCTGAATTCTTGGATACTGAACTATATAAACAAACCTCTAATATATCAGCAATTCATCAAAAAGTGGCAGAATTAAAAAAGAAAAATAAGCAACTTATCCAAAAAAAGAGTATCAACTAAAATACATTCTTTATCAAGAAAGATTGATAAAAATGGATACTATAAAGCAATACAATATCAAAAATTCGATCAGCTATTCAATTTAATTAACAGTTGAATATATCAAAGCAATATTCAATTTATAACTGAAGACCTAGTAAATAGATAAATACAATTACATTATCTTGGTAGAATAAAGAATTGGCACTATTCCAATTAAAAGAAAATAAATCAAAAGCATAATAATAAATCTTATTTTGATTATGAATTAATGACAGATGAAAATACTTGAGATGAAAAAAAGATTCTAATTGTATATATAGTTCATTAAAATAAAGCTCAGAACAAATCTAGTATGACTATATTAGCAATTCAAGATATAATACCCAAACTATTTCAATTATAGTATGCTAAATAAAAATTGACTCTAAAAAATATTATTTTTGATTAACTGATAATATAGCATGTATAATATTAGAAAAGAATAACACTGTAAAAAGATTCAATATCTTAATTTTAATAAATATGATTCAAATTTTATATAATCTTTATACTACTTATATTATAATATTTTTAAAAAAAATAATTTATTAAATATAAAAGTAAAAATTCTTTGTAACTTATAAAATTTTTTTAAATATCAAGCTTATCAATTTGAAACTAAGATCTGA